ATATTATAATATAAATAATTATATATATATTTCGGGCAGGGTCAAATAGGTAGGGCTACATGTCATGCCCACGGCCCGGCCCTACCCATGAATAGCCTAGCTCGAAAATGCCCACTTTTTTCTTCGAGCTATATTTTTTGGGCTGGGTAAGGCATTTTTTTGGCAGGCTTGGGCAAACATACCGGGCTACTAGGCTTCATGAACACCCCTATCTATGGCAATCTTTTACTTTATTCACCAGTAATGACCATTTCATGTCAAAGTAACTTTTTTAAGTATATCTAACATTTTAAATTATTTATAGTGCAGTTAACATTTTAAAATATTTTTTAGGTGTGTTTATTACCGTGAAGTATATTTTGATGTATTTAACACCTTAAAATATTTTTCAGATGTATCTAACATCCAAAAATATTTTTTAATGCAGCAAGCACCAAGGCAAAAAAAATATTTCATAGTACTTAACACCTACAAAAAAGTTTAGGGATTTTGAGTGCACCATAAAATATTTTGGGGTACTGAATACACTTGAAAAAATATTTCAAAAGTGCTTGGTGCAACTTAACCCTTTCTATTATTGCTTTGCTTAATCACTAAGGAAAGAGTCGTGTTAATAATGGAGGAATTATCCTCAATGTCTGCCATGTAATTAATGGAGCTGGTTTATCTTCTTTGCCTTAATCTTTTGTTTCCCCCTCCTTCCCCCTCCTCTCCTCAGTGTCTACCACATAATTAAGGGAGCTGGTTTATCTTCTTTACCTTATAATCTTTTGTTTTCCTCTCCTTTACCTTTCATTCTCATTACCATTAATTATAATTTTAACTATTTAGATTTAAATTTAAACTATTAAAATTTAATCTGAACTAATTGATAAAATTTGATGTAACTAGATCTACAACAATAAATTATCATTAAAAGTTTTTTTAGTTTATATATGGATTGTTTAAATCAAACTTTAACAGTTTAAATTCATTTATATATTTTCTTATCAATTTATAATGTTAGTTCTACAAAATATTGAATTTGAACCGTCAACATTATAATCAATAGTAAAAAGAAGGAGAAAAGGAGTAAGGTAAAAAAAGAGAAGGCATTTCCATAATTAAGTAGGGTCATCCAAGGGGGAACAACAAAAAGATAGAAATAAAAGAAGGCAAAAAAATAAAGGTAAATCGTGTGGAGCCGACTGAGTCTTTAAGTTTAATTAAATATATATATAAAAATCACAACTTTTTTCATCATAGATGATGGTGAGAACGGATCCAAAAGAGAGATAAGAACAGAGTTCATACACATGCTTCAGAGATATAGACGCAAAACACCGCTGCCCTGCCTGTACGCATTAGCTAAGTTTAAAAAATTCCACTTTATATTAATTAACGAGGACACTGCTATTGTCATTTGTCATGTACCTTCATCTTCTTCCTTCTTCTTGGGCATCAAATCATCGCTGTTTCCTGCTTTCCTGAAATGTTAGGAGTATTTTCCTGTTGTTGAAGGCTTTGAAGTCCTTATAGTCCTTTCATCAGGCATTTTAGGATTTTACGACTTTCTTTGAATCTGTGCAAGAGGCTATATATTCCATCTAAAAACCTGGTCTAAAAGGGGTTCACATTCTTTCCTCTTCAGTATCTTGTTCTAATCGCTCTACGCGATTTGTTAAAGTTCCTAATTTAATTTCCTTTTTTGTTTTTTTCCCTTTCCATTTCATTTTTATTTCACACACCCCCGAATGCTGGTGGTTGTATTTATATTTTGAATCTTCAGCTTCTTAAGTCTTCCAAATGGCACTTGATGATCAAGAAGTTGGGTGTTCTTCAAGCAGTTCTCGTTCAACTTGGAGACAGAAGAAATATGATGTGTTTATGAGTTTTTGAGGAGAAGACACTCGTAAAAATTTTGTAGACCACTTGTATGATGCTTTGGAGCACAGGGACATAACAACTTTAAGAGATGAGGAAGACCTTGAAAGGGGAGAAGTTATCAAACCAAGTCTACTTGAAGCAATTGAACAATCTTTCTCTGCAATTATTATTCTCTCTAAAAACTACGCTACTTCCACATGGTGCTTAGATGAACTTCGAGAGATCCTTGATTCTAAGAAAGCATTGGGCCTTCATGTATTTCCAATCTTTTATGGTGTAAATCCGTCTGATGTTCGATATCAGAAAGGAAGCTTTGCAGAAGCCTTTGAAAAGCATGAACAAAAATTTGCACATGACAAAGGGAAGGTGCAAAGATGGAGGGATGCTTTAGCAGAAGTTGCTGACTTGGCTGGCTGGAACTCAAAAAATTGGTAACTTCTATGACTTTGGGCTACGCTTAATTAGAACTTTTTTTTTCGCTTTTTACAAGAATTGAAATTGCTTAGCTGCAATATTACTAATTGTTTGGTGGTATGTTTCACAACTGTGTTCAATCTGTGATGATATCGTTAAAATGGCTAACTTGTTCAGCGGTCATATCTTGGATTGAACCATATATTGGACATTAAAATGAGACTAAGATAATATTATTAGATAGGAATAGAAAAATTGACCTTTATATAAGAAACAAAACATGCCTAGACAAAAGCTTAATTGATATATGTATAGACATAAACTTATTTTTTTTGGGCGAACGAATTGATATAAAGGTTGCAATATGGTAAACATACATACTATGTAGCAGAAATTAGTATCATAAAGATTCTGAACTTGATCTTTGCCTTTCTAAACGACAACAGATATGGAGCAGATGGCATACTGATATATCTCCTATTCATTCGTTCTAGATCCAACTGATAAAGCGAGAGAGTTAGTAAAGCGCTAATGAGCAAAGCGAGAGAGTTGCTAGTATTCCTTTAGAGACTTTCTTTTTTCATTTCTGGCTGGGCATACAGAGGCATTCAACTTGATCGGAGGGCGGTAAACAAATAGTATATTTAGTCCCATCCGTACCCAACTCTAAGGATTTACCTTAGTAAAAGTTGCTCTTAACCCAACTCTCAAGTTAACTCGGTATGGATGAGAGGATCGGAGGTTATGGTGGGACGTATGGTACTATCTGATTCACGGGAGTAGGATTCGAGGACACAGCCTGTACTGCAGGAGGTTTCCTTCGGATCTCTTCCTCATAGTGATCTACAGGTTCAGGAACAGCGGGCTGATTCTGAGCTGGAGAGGGGCACTGGGTCTACAGGTCTAGCATCTGCTACTCTTAGGTGGCTTTGTGGTTGTGGATTTGGGTCCCCGGGTGGTAGAAAGAGGGCTTGTTCCTTAAACAGCAGGTGCAGTCGGGGTATTTCCGATGGCTACCTGTGAAGTTAATTGTGCTAGCATCCGGGAAATCTCAGCTAGTTTAAGGCTAATCGCCTGATTAGAAAGTTGCTGATTTGCCGGGGCTGTAGGGTTCAGCTAGTAGTTAGAGCCAGTGGACACTTCATTGTTTCCATTATAGAGAGGGTCCTCGGTGCCTCGGTTACCGGCGTTGTAGGCTATGATCTCTGGGTATGATTCTAAAAGTTATCATTTTGCATAAAGATAATGCATCTTCACCAATTAGCGTTTTCCTTTAGAAAAGTGAAAGTCACATTTATATTTATGTGCCATCTGAACAACATGAATATCAAATTACTTTTATCTTTTATTATTCTATGAGGAAAAGTTTTGCATAATGTATGAAATTTTTAATAAATTGCGTGTGGCGTTGTTAAAGTTTTTTAAACCAATGCACGTTTACGAATAATGCATTTTGTAAAATAAATTATTATATATATTAACGTCCATTTTAGTGATAAAACATTCTTTTTCTTTGGCAAACATATAAAAACATCCTTTAATGGAGCTTGTTCCCCTCTTCTTAACTCTTCGAAAGTATCTTTTGAGTTTTGAGCAATCTATGATTAAATTAATTCTATGCAATGACAAGAAGGCTGTCAGTGCCAGTAAAAATATCTTTAATTAATATTGATCACTAATAGTTAGGAATCCAGGTTTGAAGCTCACTGGTATAAATCACACTTGAAGGAAAGTAATTTTGAAGTTCAAAACACATGCATGCAATTTTAAAATTCATTTCACTTAAAATGATGATGTTATTATTCTGTTTTCTTTTGTAGGTATGAAACCAAACTCGTTGAAATTGTTGCTAAAAGGGTGAGGTCAAAATTAGATGCTGAACCGCCCTTTGACTTAAATCATGTTGGTGTGGTCAAAACTCACTTAAACGATGATAAACTTGTTGGGATTGAAGAAAAATCAGCAGAATTTGATTCATTTGTCGCTAGGTTGGAGGATGAAGATCAATTTATAGGAATATGGGGAATGGGAGGGTTAGGGAAAACTACTTTTGCTGAAGTTGTTTATGAGAGAAAACAGAAAGACTTTGGCTGTCATTGCTTTCTTCAAAATGTTAAGAGAGTTATCTACAAAAGATGATGTGTAACAATTATCCCTTATACACCAATAGAGTTATTCTATTTAGTCTCGAATCATTAAAAGCCAGGTTTCAATCCTAAGAAAGATATTTTTTTTTTTTACAGTTCTCAAATACAAAGTCTGATCTTGTTCAAAGAATGGCATTTTCTGAAAGGTTTTAGACTTTTCAAAAGCTCATTTTCAAAGTAACCTATCTACTGGTTCGAGTACCTGATTTAACCCTTTTACAAAAATGGTAAAAACCATTAAAGACCCATAGTTCGCATTCAACCATTGAACCCATTCTTTTTCCATCCAGCCTTTTGAATCCTGTATTAAGTCAACTATAGCCAATAGGGTTTAACATTCAACACCTTGGCCATTGGCTCATACAACGGGATACATAAATAGATACACATAATTTTAGACAAAATAATAACTATATATCAAAATATTGATAATTTCCTTCAATAGTAGTTATTATGGTTTATCTGCCCATAGCCACCTTCTTATGGAGGAATATTTACATATCAAAATAAATATACAATATATCTTCACTCCAAAATAAGATGTAGTTTAAGCAAAATATATATATGAAAGATCTTCAACTTCCTGCACCTTCAAGCTCCACTAATCACTACTCCCTTGCCCTTAGGAGTACTTGCTCTTGCTGTATTATATGGAATAAGGGGTGAGATTCTAGAGAATCTCAGTAGTAACAAATTTCCTTCACGTAATTATACAAGATCACAAACAACATGCTACACAGGCCAAAGAGAACAATACCTTGCATCTAAATATAATCAATGATGCACACACATCATACATCCATATAGCCAATCGCTATCTATAGCGCCCACATTCCAAAATAAATGAAAACCCGTGCATATTGTCATGACAAATATTATCATACAGAGGCAACTTACATGTTCTCTTGCACAATCAGCATAAAGGCACATCCAAGCATGTGGCAATCAATGCACAATCACATTAAAGGAAAAGAGTTACTACCTTTGGCTTTTTCTTCCGTACTAACTTCCCCTTGCTTCTTCCTTGGCTCCCTTCTTAATGGACTTGAACAAATATCAAATCCTATCAATTATATAAGCAAGGATAGATTAATATATATAGGTATAAGTATTTAAGTACTCTCCCATTTCCCTCATGCTTCCCACGGTCATACTTCCAAAAGTCACACACACACACATATATGACAATTATACTACACAAACCTATAAACGAATTATCATACATTAATCTTTTCAGATATTTCCCCCACAATTCCAGCTTCATATGCGTCATTCTATTTACTATTTTAATATCCAAAAATCTTGATTCGGTCCTCTCAAAGCAGCATTCAAATTCTACATTAATCTCAACAACCTTGCTAATCTATAAACTTTTTCAAATTTCAATATCTATCTTCACACTTTAATCAATTTCAGACAGCACCCCATGCTTCCAAAAATATTTTAATATGTCTACACTAAGGTTTAATCATCTATCTTCCCTTCCTCTATTTCACGCCATAGTCATAAGCAATTCTGGAAAAAAATTTTTTTTTCAGATTCTAAACATACTCCCAAATTTGGAACAGCCCCCTTTACCTTAGTTCTAAAAATTCTCCAGCTTTAAAACTATTTTCTTACCATCACAATAGAGCTTTTAAACCTGATCCAATAACTCAATATGCCAATAATAGCTGTAGAGCCTCAACTCGTACTGATTCTTCAATTTTCCAGTATTGCCACTAAAATTCCAGATTTGACACGGACAACACCCACACACACACACACACACACACATATATATTACATCTCCTACAGCCCCAAGGTTCTCAAACTACCACCGAACAAGCTGAACATCCCTGTTTTGGTAACTAAAAACCAGAGCAATCAATCGTAAAAAGCAAGTGCAAAAATCCCAACCACAAACTTCATCCTAACCCTTAAGCACGATTTTTATAGCTTGGCTCTCATGCTCCTCACTTTCTCTCTCAAAAACCAGATTTCATCTTGATCATCACCTTGCAACACATGCCCAAATAACAGAAAACAAAGATGGAAGAAGATTCAAGAGACTCACCTCGTTTGATTTTCACCTTTAGATGAACTGATTCCCTCCTCCGATACCCTTTCCCTTTCTTGATCTCTCTCGAACTCTCTCAGCTCTCTCTCTCTCTCTCTCTTCCCTTTGAACAGCAGAGGAATATGAGAAGGGAGAAGGTGTTAGGGCATATTAGATGGGTGAGGGATGTGGAGTGACCATTTTGCCCTTTGGTCTTCATTTTTCCTTCAATTTGATCCTTCTCTATTTTTTTTTGGACAATCAAATAATTTCAGAAATTAAACCTGGATATTTATATGAATTTTCTTCTTCCATTAGCTTCTTTAGTCCATAAAATAATTAGCCTAAAAATCTCAGCTCAAAAATTATCCTCTAACTATTTTTCCTTGAATTTTCCAGGAAAATAGCTCCTAAATTTCTGAAATTAACTTTATAATTATTTAGACCATATTCTAAGGGTCTTAATCTCAACAATTTCTTTAAAAATTTTCTCCTTCATCATGCTTTGCTTAAATCCATAAAATTTGGGATATTACATGATGGTTTGATTTCTTTGCAAAGAAAACTTCTTTGACGTCTGAAAATACAAAACAATGTGAAAGTGTGTAATTGTTATGAAGGAAACCAGCTGATAAGAAGAATGTTATGCTGTAAAAAAGTTCTACTTGTCCTTGATGATGTGAGTCACATAAGCCAACTTGAGAATTTGGCTGGAAGAGGATGGTTTGGCAGAGGGAGTAGAATAATAATAACAACTAGAGATCAACATCTGTTAGTTGAGTATAGTGTTTCTCAGTATAAGATGAATTTCTTAAATCAAGTTGAGTCCCGTCAACTTTTTCTTCAAAAAGCATTAAAGGGATACCAACCAAATAGAGATTTTTTGGAGCTTTCTGAAATTTTGATCAATGCTGCCACTGGACTTCCATTGGCACTCAAAGTGCTTGGCTCATTTCTCTGTGGAAGAAATATACCAGAATGGATGGAAGTACTCAAGAAGATTCCTTCAAATGGCATTTTTAATATACTGAAAGTGAGCTTTGATGGATTGCAATATAATGAGAAGAATACATTCTTAGATATTGCTTGCTTTTTCAATGGAAGGTCCACGTTGAAATCATAGATTTTTTAGAATAGTGGTCTATGCCCAAAAATTGGAATAGGTGTTCTTATTGAGAAATCATTGGTAACTGAAGTGAAAGGGTACTTGAGGGTGCATGACGTGCTTCAAGAAATGGCTGACAAAATTGTTTTCATGAGTCACCAGAGGATGCCGGAAAGCGTAGTAGGATATGGTCCTTGGAGGATGCTAATCATGTGTTGGCAAATAAGAGCGTAACATTCCCTGCCTTTTTTGTGACTGCCTTCTTAATTTACTAATATATTCCTTACATTTTTCATGTTATTATTAGCTTGACTTATTGTTCTATATATAGGGAACTGAAGCAATCCGTGGTATAGTGGTAAATTTTTTACAAACCACCTGTCATACGATTGGATCCTAAAGCCTTCTCTAGTATGAGCAATCTCAACTTACTTACCATATTAAATTCTTCATGTGGCCAATTGAATCTTCATAGACTTAGCTGCCTTTCCAACTCACTAAAAGTCACAGAATGGGAGGAGTATCCTTTAGATTTCCTGCCAAGTCAAACTCAATTGAATGCACTTGTTCATCTTAAAATGCAACACGGTAAATTTAAAAAAAATTTGGTGAGGAACTCAGGTAATTAAGGTCCTTTGCTTAAATTTGTTTGTCTACAATTGATTCGTGTATCACTAGCTAGTTGCTGGTTTTTGAAGCCTCTTTTTTTTTTGTTCTTTTCAGTTTCTACGAAGTTTGAAGTTCATTGATTTGAGTCATTCAACAACCTTAATCAAAGCACCAAATTTCGATGATACTCCTCATCTTCAAAGATTAATTCTTGAAGGGTGTACAAAACTTGTTGAAGTTCACCACTCTCTCGGGCAACACAAGAATCTTGTCACTGTTGATTTGTTCCAACCAAATTGGAGATGAAGTGCTTAGAGAAATTTATTCTCTCTAGTAGTTCAAAAGTTAAAAGGCTTCCTGAGTTTGGCAAATGTATGGAATGCTTATTCGAGCTTGATTTAAAAGGGACTGCTATATCCAAACTACTTGAATCATTGGTCAATTTGAGTGGTCTTACCATGTTGAATTTAATGTATTGCAAAAATCTGGTACGAGTTCCAAGATATTTTCAAAAATTGAAAGCTATAATAAAAATCATACTTCAGGGTTGCTCGAAGTTTTCAAGGCTTCCAAAGAATTTGAATGAAAATGAGGCATTGGAAGAGCTTGATATAGGTGGAACTGCAGTAAGAAGTGCCTTCATTCCCAAATGGTTTAAAAGTATTGTCTTTTTTTGGATGCAATAATTATGCACAACCCTCATTATCATGTAATCACTACTGTTGCCTTCTCAAGCGGGCATTTAGGCTTCGAAGGACTTCAAGTTCAACAACGTTACTGTGGTCTCCTTTTTTTTTTTTTTCAAATCTATCATGTTCTCTAGCTGTGTTAAATTTGAGTTATTGCAATCTTCATGATGGATCACTACTATTCAATGAAATCAACAATTTATCATCATTGGCAGCATTAAAGTTGAGCGGAAACAATTTTGTTGAGTTTCCTTCGCTCCTCTTTTCCAAACTTCGAAAGCTTGAATTTATTGCTCTTAATGATTGCCCATGGCTTCAGTCTTTTTGCCTCAACTTCCAGCAAACTTGTCATTTATGCAAGCTGGTGATTGTCCATTATTGGAACATTTTGCATGTTCACAGCAACTATGGGAATTCATTGAGCAATTTGAATGCCAGGTTTATTTGATTTCTCTTCACTATTATTTTTTTCACATTAATCATTTATATTTATGATGCCAAATTTTTTGTTACAGACTCAACACCAAAGTGAATTCTCATGTGAATGTTGGAAAATGAAGATTTTAAGCGACTTCTCCTAGGGAATTGTAACTCCGGGATCGCAAGTTGAGTTATTTGAATTCTCTTTAATTCAAGCTTATTTGGTTTTCTTATTTGACTATTTCTTACACATTAATTATTATACATCTAACATGAAAAAATTTTCATCACAGCCTCATGATGAGTTCTTTATTCAACTTCCTCTCATATTGACTATTCTTGGTAGTGAAGTAACATCATGGTTTCACAATCAAAACTACTTTTGTGTGGAAGATTTGCCTTACCAGTTAATGACAAATGTGTCATTCATGGTAAACAAGCCTGATTCATGCCGTTCAAGTGAATGGTGGGGCATAGCCCTATGCTTAGTGCTAGAAAATGATATGTAATATGCAAACGTTGATGATTTTGCCAACCTATATTGGACTTATAGAGTTCCTAATAGCAAATATTCAGATTCGTACTGTTTCTGTCCAATGTTTTTGCAGTCTAGATGTAGTCATCAAAGATGTATCATCCACATTCGTTTTTTCTCATTTGTTGGGAAACAACTCCAAATGGTATTTTTCACCAAGGTACATGAGGATGTGATAGGGCAATGTGGATGGCGTGTGGTGTGTAAAGAAGATGTTGAGTGATGGAGAAACACAAGAGATGAAGGATGCAGCATCAGTAATAATGATCAGTTATTGAAGATGAATCCATCTATGATGTAGAGACAAACCCCCTCTAAAAGATGGATAAAGGTTAAAGTGACACATTTCTAGCGGTTTTAACCGCAACAAATAACATTTCTAGCGGTTAACAAAACCGCTAGAAAACCAGGCGCAAGAAAAAATTTCTAGCGGTTATGGCAACCGCTACACAGCATGGTCAAAATGCTAGACACTTTCTAGCGGTTTTTAACCGCTAGAAAATGCTCAAAGGAAAAAAATTTCTAGTGGTTTTATAACCGCTAGAAACATTCTAAACCAAATCTCATTTTGCCGGGAATTAAATATTTTCATTAACGCGCCAAAATTTCTAGCGATTAGAGAACCGCTAGAAATTTTTGGGAAATTAAATTTTCCCGCCAATTAAATTTTTGGAATGGTGCCAAAAAAATTTTCTAGCAGTTTGAACCGCTAGAAATTTTGGCGCAAAATATAAATTTTCAAAATATTTGTAGCGGTTTACAACCGCTAGAAAATTTTACCGTGCCTGGAAAAAAATTTGTGGTTTTTCATTATTAGAAAATATAATATTATAATTTTAAAAACCATTAAATAAATTATGTTGAAGAATTTTTGTTAATTTGTATAATTAGCTATATGTTACATTTTATATATTTAAATTTTGTAATAAACAATATGTAATTAAATTATGAGTGTCTCAAAAGAAGTGAATTTAATTTAATAAGATAATTGAATTGAATATTTAATAAGATAGTTGAATTGAAGATGAGATAGTTTGTAATATTGAACCTATAGTGTTAGGTTGAGGAGTATTTGAATCAGTTGAGGAGGGCATGACAAGTGTTAAGAAGAAAAATCTAAAAGAAAAGGAGAAATAAATATGTTAGTAAATTTTAACTAAAAACAAATAAAAGATACAATGAATTATAAAATAAAATTCACTTACCATACAGTAAAGAGAAAGAAACCACCATATGAGAGAGTAAGAAAAAAAGAGAGAATTATGAGGAAGAATAGGAGAGGAAAGAAA